GGCAGTTTAGCACATGTGCTGTTTAAGAGCAACGGAGCAGAAGTGATTTCTGGGAAAAGAAAATTAAAGTTTTATCTGGGTGAAGCTTATATACTTCATAGATGTAGGATCGGTACGTAGATTCACGTACCCGCTGATGCCCAACCCAGACTTTTCTGCAGTATCAGATGCTGGTATATGAACATCTGTCATTTTAATCTCATTAGTATATACTACTACCTGAGCAATATGGTTTTCTGTATCAAGTTTTACCCGTCAAGTCAGGTAATGAGGCACTTGAGCTCTAAAGCCTGGTACTTGTTGGAGTATAATATACTGACAAACAAGATCGGCTACTGGCATCTCCAGTCAAGCAGCATCAGCATCAACTGTCCAGTCCCAACATGTGCAATTTAATTTGTATAACAACAGGTCAGATGTTGTGTATGGATCATTTCAATGTCAGATGAGGTGGCAGGAGATGAAGCTGCCTGAAAGCAAAGAAAATACGTTTACAAAAAGAAAGTGGAAGATTTCAATAGAAAACAGATTTTTCAGTTAGTATTAATAGGAGCAGGATGACAGATCCCTCCTGGCAGCTGATTTAATCGTCATCAGAAATTAAGTGCTGTGGAAAAGCCCACAAACCATCCTCCAACATCATTGTTCATCCTTTTCATCGGCTTGCTTCTTGGCCACATTTCTTGGCCACTGATTGGCCCATTATTCAATCATGCAGGAAGTCATTGTCAACCGGCACAATGATAATTTTTTCATGGGGTCAAACACTGATGGGGAAAAGTATTTTCGCACAAACTCAATTTGTAACAGTATTTAATAAGGGTAGAGACACAGATAGAAAAAGACATGTGTGGCTGTTTCCTTGGGAGATGAATAATGTAATAATGTAATAAAATGCGATTAAATCAGTGAGACAGGGATTACTGCTGGATTTTAATCACAAAGCGCGATATCAGATTTTTCAGAAAAATAAACACCCTGCAATCTTTAGAATCCCACAAGGTCGTTTGACAAAACAAAACCCTTCACTGGTTATGAAGGTATTTTCCAGAATCCTCAAATCACCTGGATGAAAACATATTCTATCCGCTTCATGATAAAAAAGAAATATTTTTACTACATTTCATCCGTTGCGACTGCGCTTCCTAATCCAAACATAGGTGATAGCCGAGGATTTAGTTTGAGGAAATCTGAGGCTAACGTCTGTTGTTTCAATGAAACGTCTCACCTAAAAACGAAGGTAAATGTGATCCGTAACATAATGAACACTTTGAAAGTATAAACCAAAGAGCCAGACAGAGGTTTGATATATATAATGGTTTTATCTTTCATTTTGAAACCTTCTGGACGGGTCTATCACAACTGCAAGTAGGTTGTTGGGTTCAACTCTTGGTTTGTTTCAGTTGTGTGTTCCATTAAAGGTATTGCATGTAGTTGTATTAGTGGCTGTTAGTGGTTGATGGGGATAGAGATATTGGTGGTATTGTAAAAGGGAGAAAACTGGTCAACCACACAATGATCTACCTTTTTGTTCTGCATCATCGCTTTCCAGATTTACCTATATCTCCACCTGGTGGCTGGCTGCAATATAGGTCATAAACCCTGCCTCCTCCATGTTAGTGGATTGGACATGTAGATCACACTAAAACTGAACTATCACATCAAATGAAATTTTCACAAAAAATGATTTCTGTTTGTTCAAATGTTATTTTTTCTGCAGGTTTATTTGATGTTATGGTGAAAATTCATGTTTGACTTGACAGTTGGGTGCAGGGGTATGGGTGGGGCCTCAATACCGCAGCCCCATCCGCCAAACACTACTCCACTGACTTGGCTTGATTTCTGTATGGTGGAAGGAAGTGGAGACACATCGTCCATCTTTATACACAGGCTATGGTAATGACTAATATGCTGGGCTGTCTCCGGTGGTAGAGCTGGTTTGCGGCTGTTTTCTGGTTTGGCAGTTCAATCCCTGGTTTCCCTTAACTCCGGTTGCATCAGGAAGGGCATCTGGTAAAAAAAACAAACCCTCTGCCACATAAAGTATGTGGATGGTAATCTCTGCTGCGGCGACTCAGGAGCAGCCAAAAGACGACAACATTTTCCAGCAGTGACTAACAATGAACAGCACATTTCCCATAAGAAACAACTAATCACAGAGCTTGTTCTCAGTTAACCAAACATCAGCCGAGCAGTGGACTTTTGGCAGTCTTAGTTCCTCTGTGTTTAATGCTCGGCTGATACATTTTGTTTTACGTGCGGTGTGTTTGTACAGTAAGGTCTAAAGTATTACCACAAAGAATACAAACACATCAAAGAATGAATAACGAGAGGTTGAGTGGCAGTAATGGGAGGAAGCCTGCTATGACTGCCAAAAATCCAGAGGAAGAGTGTAAAGAATTATCAGGAGGGAGGCAGTCACTGTCGACTTCATATATGCGTTTGTTTTAGCTCGTCTATGGGAATTTCCATACGGCAGCCACTCCTACTCCTACACACTCTCAACATCCCCATAATGACTTTTAGTTTATCTATCACATTGGGCTGTCATTTATCGCTGCAGTCTATTTCAGTGCAGACTTCACACTGCTTTGAAGTCATTCTGTGGATTCTTAATGATATTAAGGCATTATACTTGTCACTGTGGGCCAAGGAGCTTTGACGGAAGACGTCCTCTTTTCTAGTTGATTTCCTTTATATGAATTTTTGAGGTCAACAGGTTCGGTTATTGTGCATTCTCTTCAAAGAATTTCATGTTGGATTTCCTTTGCTGACAAAAAGAGCTGTCAAAAGCAACTAAATAAAATGCAGGTATGAAGATAGAGTTAATGAGAGAGGAAGAGAGGGGAGTTGCAAAAATGTTGGCAGGTTGCTTTGTGGCCGAAGTGGCCACAAAGTGTCGTGTCCCTGTTGGCAGGGCGATGTAACTGCACTCACTCCACCAGGTACAGCTTAAGACAGGAGGGTTATTTATCAGATTATGTGGTCGTTAGAAGATAATTACCCTCGGGGGGCGAAAAGACTTGGGCTGACTTTCATCTCAAACCTGCCTCGACAGAGAGAGCGAGGGTTGCAGAGACACAGAGAGAGGGTTGAAAGAGGTAGAACAGAGTGTCAGAAGATACTGAGTCTTCAAACACCGCAGCGTAGGAGTGTGTGTGTGTGTGCATGTGCATCACTTTAACCCCATAATGAGTAGCCTGGAGGGGGTCCACAACCATTTGGCAGTTCTTCATTTCCTGATTCAAGAAAAAAAGCGCTATCTAACCTTTTATCTTTTCAACAGCTACACACAGGGCCACACACCCATGCACTCGTGCACACACACACACACACACACAAACACACACACACTGGCTGTGATCTTACAATGAGGACTTGCACAATTAAGCTTATTTTGCCCTCACAAGCCAATTGTGTGTGAGTATTTATAGGCCATATATCTATGTGTTAATGTGTGTGTATGTGTGTTGTTTTTATTGTGTGTGTGTGTGTGTGTGTTTGTGTGTGTGAGGAGGTTGTAATTAAGCAAGATCAAACCCTCAGGGTTGGGGAATTAGCCATGACTGAAGATCAGAGGGTTTTTTCACTCAAGTCTGCGACATGGTAGAGTGAAATCAGAGGTTTGGAGCCAGACAGACAGATTCTGACCGCAGATAGGAGATAATGGCGGCTTCTTCCTGTCTCTCTTTCCAACAAACACTTATGCATGAACTCACACAAGCAAGCACACACACTTTGAGGCTTCCGACAGGATGGATTTAATGTTCATCACTTCATGTGTTGAATCAAACTGATTTTATCTAAGGTCACACCAAAATGTGCTTTTATACTGAGGCAACAGTTACTTTGATTGTGTTTCTGCAGTTTAAAAACTAGTCAGGGAAACACTGGCTTCATGGTAAATAAAGACAAGTGATATCCTCCACTCAGACCTCCAGAGCCATAAAAGAAAGTCTCTTTGTTATGTTATTTTCCCGAAAGGTTATTCTCCTGGACAGTTTCCCTTCAAAAACCAGAATGGCACTGATTGCACACTTTTGGTGAAAGAAAGAAAAACAAAAAACCTCTTGAAATGTTAAACAAAGTGAAAAAAATAAATTCTATCAACCCTTTGATCCGGATCCTAACCAAGATTTAATGGGTTTTCCCCTGACCCATACCACATCCTTCGTAGATCCTCCTAGATCTATAAATATCTACACGTGTATCTAGGGACGAATGATTTTGAGGGTTGGACATTATTCTTAATGATGGTTATCTGGTAAGGATTCAAAGCAGAATTGAATTAGATTGAAATCACTAGTAGATTGACATGTCAGAATAAACAATCTGTTCAATGTAGTATTGAGCATTGACAAGTGGTCAGAGCAAAGACCTTCATCGCAGTTTTTGATGAGGGTGAAAAGTCAGCTTCTCTATGCCACACGATTTAAAAGTCATCTTGGTATGAGTTCAGAGATAGTTTTAACATGTTTAATCGTGTTTTCTTACTTACCATGACACATTAATAGCATAAGTATTACCTAAGCGCACCCACAGGTTTGAAACTAGACCCACGTAAAAAAGCTTTGTTTGAGTAGATTTGAGGTGTTGACGTCAACTTTAGCCTCAGACGTAGCGCAGAAATAGACAATTAAGTAAATGGTATATGTGATATCACCAACCTCTATTGAGGCAGAGGTTAGGCAACGGTGATCTGTGCTTGCTGTCATGAGCCAGAGGAATGCCATGGGCTGTTCTGCTGCAGTTACATGTTTAAGGGCGATGACGTGATTCTAACAAGACAGTGAACTCATCAGGACCACACACACACACACACGCACACCCACAAACACACACACACTGACACTACTGTTGGCAGCTGTGCTTAGATTCATGACTTTGCTGTTTCGTAAGTGGAGTTTGGTGCAGGAGCAGGAATGTTTGAAAGGATTGTTTACAATAAACGCTGTTTATTTCCAATGATTAATTCTGTCTTTGATCTCCATGTCCCCCAGGAAGAAGACGCAAACATGTCAGAGAGGAGAGGTCAGAAGAAGTCCATATTTCTGTCGTTATTAGTAAGTTTTGTTTTTATTTTTTTATCTCCTCATTTCCTGCCTCTACTGCCTTAATCCCCTCTGTCCTCCAGCTTTAATACTCATCTTCAGCTGCTTTCAGACATACACTGAACTCCGCAGATCCTCCGTATTGTCTCTGGAGGAGGTGCACGTGATATGCACGCAGCAGAGTTAATACGTCTCTTCCTACCTCTGTCTGCTCCATCCGGCTGCTCCACCTCTTGCCTGAATAATGCAGAGGATTTGTTGCCCGTGAACACATCTGTGCAGAGAACCTCCCTCTGTTTTGTGCATGTGAAAACAACTTTCTTTTCATTTTTTAACTCCATTTACTCCTATCCTTATGCTACACTTAACGCTGTTCTTTAGAACTGAAATCTGAATTTGGCCTCTTCAAAATTTGCATCAAGCAGTAGTGTTAATCCAAAATCATCACCATATTTCTGCTGTCGGCCTTATGGACGGATCGCCGTCGTAATCGACTCCACAATAGGCCATGTTATAATGGTCTGTATTTATATAACACTTTTTCTAGTCTTGATGACCACGCAAAGCACCCACACACATTCATACACATAGATTCACTCAATGTGCAACATTTTCTTTATTGCTAGCACAGCAGGCAGGAGCAATGTGGGGTTCAGTTTCTTGCCCAAGGACACTTTCTGCCAAATATGTCCCTGATAAACCCAACCCCAATGTTTTCCCCAATTAAAAAATCAAGTCGAAAGCCCAGCCAACATCAAATCAAATCAAATATACTTGATTGTCCTCATGGGGAAATTTTTAATGGGCCAAAGTGCTACAGCATGAGTTGAGAATTGCACCTGCCCTAAAAACACTTAAAAAGATAAAACACTAAGAGGATAAAATGCATTAAAGATGAAAAACAAAAATTGACATTAAAACCTATAAGCCAGAGTGTAAAATTTGCCAGACAAAATGCAAAGGTTATTGAGATACATGGCTGAATCAACATGTTTCCTTATTGAGCAGTGTGATGGACGTTGGGATGAATGAGAGCTTGAGGAGGTTGATCTTACACTTGATGGATCTGTCACTGCCTGAAGGTAGGCGGTCAAATTCAGAGAACAGAATGTGTGACGAGACATTAAGGATCCTGTGTGTGAGTCTGACCACAGAACCTTCGTAGTTTGAAGGGAAGGATAGCTGGGGCCAGGCTGACTGGTCGTCTCAAGGCATTGTGGGATAGCTGTCCGTGCAGATCTAGCATGGTGCACTGGTATGACAGGAAGTTTGTTTTTCCAACGGTGGAAAACTAAGGAGGAGAAGATTATTGTTACAGTGTCTTCAAAGACAAAGTGCAGCTCATGGAGAGAGTTTATGAAAACAACGCCTGCCAGTAATTGCTCGATAAATACTTACAGTGACCCTTAAATGTGTCAACACACCAACGGGAGCGGATGTTTTGTACATATTTAAACATATTTAAAGAAATAAGATGCTTGTTGGTTGCAGAATAGGGACCTTGACATGTTAAAGGGGCATTCCACCAGTTCATTTTAAAATGCGGTTTATACCACAAACAGATTATTTGGCCTGAAAGGATGCAATCACATTAACATACACTCCCAACGTAGATTTGTATATTTACTCACGCAGCGTCCTGCGTCTGCTGTCATGAAATGGTTAAGAGGAAGAGAGGGAGATGTTATTAAAACAACACAGGGAAGATGGAGAGAATTAGTCATGCACTCGTTTGCTTTCCCTCCATCATTTTCTGGGCTGCAGATTTTTTAAAGTCAGTTAGTTTGTTTGGAGAAGCACAAAGTCTGCTGGTAAAGCCACCAGCTGCTACTTATTACACAGCCACTATGACACAATGCCACACACATGCATGCACAGAGACACCAACACAATACACAGACACACACAAACTTATGCCAGTGTTGTGGAAACTCTCTCATTCACACACGATGATCTCTACTAAACTTAATTTCACAATGAAGTTTGTTTGTGATGTTTGTTTTCTTTGCTGTTTGGTTTTTGTCAATTAAAAATGATGATGCTGATTCTGCTGAATGAATCAGCATCATCATCCAGTGCTGTTGTTCATCTCTGCTGCTGCTGCAGTTCACTTGTCTCTGTGCAAAAGGATATGGTGCAGTTTGTTACACTGCAGGATTTACTGCAGAACTGATGAGCACTTCCCAACTTTCCACATGTTGAAACAATATGAAGTTAAGGTTTTAGAACCTTAAATATTCCTAATTACAAATACAAACTGTTGAGGTACAAGTCATTCTGTGTACATCCCATAAGTACAAATATTTTATTTAGAGAGTAAATCATGTCATTTGGGCAAAATTCTGAATATGGAATATGAAATTTCTGAGAGGGTGAGATTTATATTATAATCAAAGTGAAACTTTTTCTAAATATATCTCTTTTTTTCTCCATCTATCTGTCCTCTCTGTCTCTGTCTCACTGTCCCTTTAGGTGTGTTGCATGTTTGCAAGTGCAGAGTATTCCAGCTGTGGCGAGTACGAGTTCTTCAACCAGACCAGTAACAGCTGCCAGGCCTGTCCTCAGTGCCAGCCAGGACAAGAGCCACATATGGTAAGACACACACACATGCACGATCTAACATTTAAAATGTGTACCCATAAAGAAAGAAATTAGTAAAATAGCATCAAAAAGTGACCTTATGAACCCTCATGTCATTTTTACTCAGACCACACACAATCACACATAGCTGCACAGTGAAGCATAAATTCAAATTTCTCTATGGTTTATTGCTCCCATTGACTTCCCTGTGAAGGCTTGCATTAGAGTGAATGACTTGCAGTAGTCACATAGTGATTTAGCCCCCGTCAGTCAGTCTGCTGGCAGCCAAAGAAAACACAGAGCAGGTAAACGCTTCAGTGGGCACCCCGGGGTGCCACACCCTCTCAAGAGAGGCAGCTGCAGGGGACAGAGCTGAAAGGTGGACAGAAATAACTATTGTTAAAATAAATAAAAGTCTTCTTATGATTTTAAATATTTGTGTTTATGTCTGGGAACAGTGCTCTCCTTTCCATTGCATTGTTTACTGACAAATTACAGTTGCATCTGTGCCTGTATCTGCACCTGCAGACACATGCAGAAAAGATCTACCTACTTAACCCACAAACATCTGTCTGTCTGTGGAATTCATATCTCGCGAACTGTCGACAAAACGCGATACGTTCAATATTAATGACATTTGAATAAACAGACGACCAGTGCTCTGTAGCAGTCAGTAGGGGGCGGGGCAGTGTGCCTTCAGTCTGTGGGCCGACTTGAATTTTCTTCTGAGTCCTTGAATAAACTACAGAAGCGGTCGGCCGCTTGGTGAAAGCGCAGGTCAAAATCGCTGCCAGGTCATTTTCATAATTGAATTATTTATATTTCCCCATATTGAACTGACACAGACATTCACAGGAGTTGTTGCTGCTGAACTCTGTCATGGCAATAACATTCATAGAATCTCTTCCAATTTGTTTTCAAAGTAAACACACAATGGTGATTTTGTTTGTTGCAGTGCTTTATATTGAGCTGGCTCACAGAGCTTCTATCTTGAAAAGTTGTGAACGTCAGTCTTAAGAATGTGTTGCTTGCTTAACATGTAGAAAAGAAGAAATAACAGGAGTTCAGTAAATCATTCAAACTTATATATGAACCACACAATTTAACAATAATGAAGAAAAACAAAGGCTTCATTGCAGACGAACCAGGAGGGATGAACGCAAAGTTTTCTAACTTCACTCTGTACCATAGAATGTTTATAAAACCCTTTGCACACAACGTCCAGCACACAAACAATAAAAAAGTCACAATATATTGTAGAACTGTTGGAGGAGGACTCACTAATGACAAGGAATCATTCTGAAGCTCCAGAGCTTTAACACAAGACACACAAGCAGGTTGACTATTAACACACAAATAACTTTGATAGAGAGAACTTAATATGCTCAATATAGCCCCTAAAACGTGGGTCAAGCATTAATTAACAGTCACTAGGTGGCCATGTCTCCTTCACCTCCATGAGCTGGATGGCATAAAAAAAAAAAAAACAATCGCATGAACGTTCCCACTGTGTCGGTTTAATTTTTCCTTCCGTTCCCACTTCCCACCTTCCTGGCCTTATGTTCACTGAGCTTCCATGTGCTTTAAGTAAACATCCCAACAATGCGTTGTGTTTGAACTTGTGAAATCAAGTGATCCACTCGTCTCTCTCTCTCCGACAGAGACGAGAGGTTCAATCTCAGAGCTCCGTCATAAAAGGGTAATTTAACCGTGTGCGAGCGACAGAAACATGAAGGAACAAAGAAGATTAATCAGTGAGATGAGAAGCCCCTCTGCACTCTCTCCTGCCCGTCTGATCCTCTTGGTGCCACAGTCTGTAATTCATGTGCTCTCCTGTTCCCCTGAGTTTCCCCTGCATGTGTGTGTGTGTGTGTGTGTGTGTGTGTGTGTGTGTGTGTGTGT